TGCAGTTCCTTCTCCGTTCTCCTCCTGGGATCTTGGACACGCATGCGCACACACCTGGCGATTCTCAAGCCGGCAGGTCCGGCACTGTAACTGCGGCTGGCCATGTGGGAGTCCAGTGACGTAACTCCTACACCATCTGGTGGCCCTGACAGCCATTAGTTTTAAAATATTGTTTCCCAGCCTTTATCTGAGTACATTTTTTTGGTTGAAATGAATTATTTTGTTGAGGAAGACAAGTCACTCACATAGTCACTGGCTGTGGGCCAAAGGAAGGGGCCTGTCAGGAGCAGGCTTGTTGGCAGTGGACAATGGTGGTAGGGGTTCTGCCCAGCAGGAACGCAGGACCCAGGGTGTCCGTATTCCTCCACGGATCTGCTTGTTGTGGGTCACTTTCCATCCGAGGGCCTCCGGGAGACTGAATAAGACAGAAAGCTTTCAGCTGTCAACGACAACAGGTCTTCTCTGTCCTGGCACCCAGTGAGAACAGCGTCTATGTCCCGGTGTCCTCTGGAGGATTCGTGGGTCCCTTTGACGTCGCATTGCCACGCTGTCTGCCTTGGTCCTCTTTACTGTGTCATTCAAGGTCGTGGCGGTGACCGAACATTTTCAGAATGGCATGATACTACTTTTATAGATCAGAAAAGATACATAAGAATGTCCAAGGAACTTTGAGGGAAACAGCTGCTCTGAACTCTGCCATCTTACTTGTGTTGGTCTGAGTCTTGCTGACGAGTGCAGGCAGAATAGGCCGATAGAGCAGAAGTGGCCCGTTGACACTGACGGCGTGGAAGTGGCATCTGGCCGCAGAGCCCTCAGAAGAACTTTCTGTGGCATTCTTTAAGCAAGTGAATTAAGATGTGCCTTCTCAGGGCGTGAGTGTGGAGCTCATCAGGGTGCAGCTTTAGGCGAAGGTGACAGGTCGCAACGGCGCCGTCCTGCTTACACCCCACGAGGGCTGACGAGGTTGTCACCGACAGGGGCTTGGAGCCGAGCCTCTCCTCAAGCAACCAATGCCCGCCCAGCCCCCGAAGATAATTGTTCTCTACAGCAGGCGAAAATTGCACTTTTTTTTTTTTTAATTTTCATTGTATCATAAACATTTAAAAAGTGTAACTTTATATACCTCACCACTGCACTTGTGCCTCCCAGCTGGGACCACAGGTGAGGACAAGCATGCCTGGCTCTTTGTCATACAGTGTCCTGTCATGTTGTCCAGACCAGCCTCGAACTCACGATCCTCCTACCTCAGCCTCACAGTCACGGGACACCACCAACCAGCCTCCCTGTGTTTCTGGCCTGCAGAGCCCAGGGTCTCAGCCATGTGCAGCACCATGTTGTGCTACCAGTATGCTTCTTTTGTTTTTATTCTATGATAGCACATATGTAAGCCTGTGGGAGAGGGAGAGACGGAGAGAGAAAGCCTCCTTAACAGGACCTGTCACATTGCAGTCTCCCCTCCCTTCCCCACTAGGGCTCTTGGGCACCGAGGGACGTGCCCGGTGTGTTTTCAGGCCAGCCCAGGGATCTGAGCCCCAGGTTGGCTACGTGGCCTCCAACATTGCGGTCCAGTATGCTGTGGACTGTGCCACCTTGGCTGAGCCAACCAGGATATTTTTTGTTTATTATTATTATTATTATTATTATTATGCAAAATCGACCAGCTATGATTTCTTTGCTCTTACCACTTACTTGAATAATTAGGTGATTTTCAGCTATAAACATTTCCTTGGGTATCTTTGTATATATGATAATCTTTCCTTTTTTTTTGCTATAGGGTGTATGTGTTCACTAGAGAGACTGGGCGAGGGAATGTGAGAAGTCATCCCTCAAAGACCCTTCCACAGTCCCTTCTCCATTCTCCCCTAGGGATTTTGGGTATGCACACACACGAGCCTAGCATTTTTTTTTAATTTAATTTAATTTAATTTTTTTAGAGGTTTTCATTACAGGGCGCGTGTGCCTGCCAGACAGACAGACAGACAGAAAGTGAGAAATCACCCCCCCCAGGGGGGATGGCCGCGCCGCAGTCCCTTCTCCATTTTCCTCTTGGGATCTTGGGCATGCATGCACACGTGCCCGGCGTGTGTTTTAAGCCACCGGGTTCAGGACATGAAACACGGTCGACTACATGGGAGTCCAGCGATATAGCCATTACGCTAACTGCTGGTCCCCCAGGATGGTTTTTAAGCTGCCAGATCTGGGAGTAAAACCGTGCCGTCAACCATATAGGATCCAGCTGTCTTAACCTCCATGCCCCCTGCTGGCCTGTGATTTTCTTATGTATTATTCATTTAGCTTGAAGTCCCTGGAATTGGAATCCTAAATCAAAGGGCATGGACCTCATGGCTCCTGGAGCAGGGCACTAAAATTCTGAGACTCCCGGGAGCTTCGGCTGCTGCGGGTTCAGGGCAGATGTGCAGATGTGTGCCGTGCCCTCCCCCCCCCCACATACACACACACTTGTGCCTGCACTGGGCCGTGTGTCTTCTTTCATTTGTACGTTGTTTCAAAAGTTAAGATCTAATTCACACAGAGCAAAATGTTCCCTTGGGCCAGCCCAGTAGCACAATGGTGGAGCGTGGTACAGAGGAAGCCAGAGCACACAAGGCCGATTATTGTTCATGTCCCAGCCCAGTGGCTTATAAAGCAAGCCAGGTGTGTGTGCCCAGGATCCTGACAGGATGGGGACATGAAAGACTTGACACGTGACTAGACATGCTGTAGGGTGCTTTGTCTCTCACATGCACGTGCGTTCTCTGACATTAAACTAAAAGATGTAAAACAAATTCACCCTTTAAAATTGTGCAACTCAGTGGTCTTAAGGATAGTCACCAGATCGTGCCAACGTCTTGTTCCAGAACATTCCTGTCTCCCCGATAAGAACCCTGTCCCTGTCCCTGTGCCTTCCCCCTCTGCCCCCGGCGGCCACCAGTCTCCTTTCCGTCTTTGCGTTTGTCTCTTGCCATTTCCTAGAAGTGGATCATACATCGTCTGTCCCTTTGTGACTGGCTTCTTTCAGGCACGGTGGCCTGTCTCCAGGACAGTCTGCTGTGGCGGGGGTCGTGCGCCCGCCGGCGTGTGAGTGTGCAGTGGTGCCCCTCTGGGCACCTGCTGGGGGCACTGGCTCTTCTCTGTGGTGCGTCTTCGGGTTGGAGGGCTGGTGTGCGCGCTGCGTACCGTCCGTCTCGTCGAGTCCCCCGGGTGGACATACCGGGCACACTGGTGCCAGTCACCATTTCGTTCTCCACCCATTTTTCTTCTGGAATTGGGATTTTCCCTGTCAACCCTAACAAGACCATTGTGTCTGAGAAATTAACTATTGCTTCATTTTATGCGAAGAATTCCCTGGCTTCTTATTTTCCTTTCCCTTTAATTTTGGTTGTTGTTGTGGTTTTTTTTTTTATTTTTATTTTACTGCTGCGATAAAATTTTAATTTTTGTATAGTTGAATTTTCTTTTTTTTGGTGATGTCTTCTGTTGTTTCAAATATTAGGAACTTACCTCCCCAGAGTTATACTGAAATCTCACTAATTTTCTTTTGTATGTTTTTTTTAATTCTTTTTTTTTGGGGGGGAGAGGTTTTTGGTGTAGGGCTCATGCGCTCACCAGAAAGATATAGGCAGGGAGACAGAAAGCGAGAAATCACCCCCCCAGGGGGGATGGCCATGCCATAATCCCTTCTCCTCCATTCTCCTCTTGGGATCTTGGGCACGCACGCACCAGCGCGAGTTTAAGCCACCGGGTCCGGGACTTGAACTGCGGTCGACTACATGGGAGTCCGGTGACATAGCCATTACGCCAATTGCTGGTCCCTTTTGTATGATTATTAAAATATTTAGTTTTTTCATCTGTATCAATCTGACATGTATTATAAGAGATGGATGAATATTTAATTATTTTGCAGTAGCTAACCTGTGGTTGGTCCTAAGAGTGTTCATTAAAAATTTGTTTCCTGGGGCTGGCAGGTGGCATGATGGTTAGGGGCCCTGGACTCCCACATGGCTGACCATGGTTTGAGCCCCGGACATGGTGACTTGCTTATCACTTTCTTGCTCTCTCTCACTCTGTCCCTCTCTGGTCAAATTGGAATAAATAAATAAATAAATAAAATGATTTAATAAAAAAGAATCTTTAAAAAAATTGTTTCCTTCCTTTCTCATTGTTTGTAATGCTTTTTTTTTTTTTTTTTTGAATTGCTGACTCACTTGGGAAATATGTTCTAGCTATGTCGCTCAAGAAGGAAATGAGTAATTTAGGTTCATTTGAGACGTTGGTTAATTATAAGAGCTAAATTATGTTTCTTCCAGATGGGCTCCTCTCACACTTTCCTTTTGCTTGTCTTAAACTTGGGGGGTATGACAGGGTGGTCACCTTGCAGTCAAGCCAGCCCGTCCTGTACCCCACCCTCACCCACTTCAGAATCCCACAGGGCACGGCTGGTCAGCCACGTCGTGTTCCTTTCGATGAATGCGGTTCTTAAACCGTACAGCTAACTGGGGTCTGACCTCACATCAGACAGTTCTCCTTTATTTAAGGTCTTTCATCAGATCAAAGTTCTTTGCCGAGGAATTTTGGCCTATGTCTTTCCCCCCTTTTGCAGGGGGAATAAAAGTCTGCATGGAATGGGAGGTGTCAGAGACGGCAGGTCTTAGACTGCCCTGGAGGGTGCCCTCCCGCTGGCCCCTCAGCTGCCGTGGCTGTAGGTCACCTAGTATCCGTGTGCGTTGCATTCTACCTCATTGAATGGGCTAGTTCTCAAAGACCGACTTCAGTGGTTTAGGGCTTGAGGTCTGTCTGGTTTCTGTGTGTTCCTCTCCAAGCTTCATTTCAGCCTTGCTCGGTTTCTTCCTCCTGCAGCCGGACTGGCAGCCCTATTTGCCACAGAATGGAGACAACATTGAAGTCGCTTTCTCTTACTCGTCCGTGTTATGGCCTTGGTCAGGCTACCTGGCCATCTCCATTTCTGTGACCAAGAAGGCGGCTTCCTGGGAGGGCATCGCCCAGGGGCACGTCATGATCACTGTGGCGTCCCCAGCAGAGACAGAGGTAAGGACACACGGGGTGGGAGGGCAGGCCGATTTCTCATGAACCTTGACGAGGGCCTGCGAGGAAGGAGGGACAGCTTCGTGCCTGGGGTCCTGAGTGAGAGCACAGCTGACAGAGGGATTAGCCTGGCGGACCATGGCCAGGGGTCCTAGGGCCTCCGGAGCCGGGGGGATTTAAGCCAGCCAGCGGGCGATGACGGTGCAGAGAGGGCTGCTCTGCCGCATCTCCAGCTCAGAGTGCGCCAGGAACGCCTGGCCTCCAAGAGGGAGTGTCGGGATCTACGCCTCCGGTAGGTGTCAGGAAAAAAGGGCCTTCAGTTTGGATTCAGTCCTGAACTCAGGTTGGATGGAATTGTGATGTGTGAATGTTGCATCACATGTTTTTCGAAATTCTGTGTTCAAATTATTTGGGCTAAATTGATGGATATGTATGACTTATTTTAAGCCCCAAAACAGAACATTTTTTCTGGCATTTCAAGTTTCTTTTATTCTTTTTTAGTCAAAAAATGGTGCAGAACAGACTTCGACGGTGAAGCTCCCGGTTAAGGTGAAGATCATTCCAACCCCCCCTCGGAGCAAGAGAGTCCTGTGGGACCAGTACCACAACCTGCGCTACCCACCTGGCTACTTCCCCCGGGACAACCTCAGGATGAAGAACGACCCGCTGGACTGGTGAGCGGCCGCCGGCCCGGGGTCCCTCCCCTTCCCAGCCTCGGGATGAGGTGCCTCCATTCCTGATGCCGTGAGGGGGGAGCCGCTGCTCGGTGTCTCACTGAGCCTGACTCGCCTGACAGCTAGACTTCACGGGGCCCCGCGGTGCTCTCCAGCACCCTGGCTCCTTTGCAGTGTCCCAGTGTAGTGAGACGCTGGGGCAGTAGCACCTGGACTCTGTCCTGAATCGCTCTCTCCCTTACTTTTCCCTTCGAGTTGCTCAGTCCAGCTCTGACAACGTCCGGATCCTGCGGGTATGGCCTTCTCCCCACCCTTGGCTGCTCCGAGCCATCACCATCCCTTGTGGGGAGGGCGTCTTCTTGGTGTTCACGTTCCTCACATTGTTCCCGTGTAGTGGCCGCGGGGATGTTCTAAGACACGAACGAACTCTATTGTAGTTTACCCCAAGTTCCTGGTGGCTGTGCGCAGGGTGCCCTGCACATCCCCCCAGGGCTGGCACTGCTCCCCCAGCCCCATGTGCACCCCTTTTCTGCCCCTGCCCCTGCTTAATGACCGGGCCAACTTCCTCTTGGCCCAAAGACCAAGCTGATTTCTGCCTCCCTGTTAGGTAAAGGAGTTTGGGCTCCAAGTTGCAAGTGGGAGTAAGGGGAGGCGTGGGTAGTTGGGCCACATTCCGTGCAGGGTCAGATCTGCCCATTAAGTAGGTGACTCAGAGCCAGGTGGAGGGGTCCAGCCCAGAGGCAGGTGGGTGGGCAGTGTCGGGAGGCTGACACACCAGGGCTGGGCCTCGCACAGCGCAGCACCCACGGTCAGTGCTGCCAGAGTGGCAGCTGTGGGCTGGAGGGCAGAGGCGGGCTCTTCCCGGGGCGTTTGCACAGGCACTTCCCCAGGGTGTACGGTAGACAGCGAGCAGGTGGCTGGGTTGGTGGGCAGCTGGCCCCCAGTGGTGGTGGTGCGTGAGCCGCACGTTCGTCTCAGTGTGCTTGCCACGTGCCGGTCGGGCACCGCCACCTCCCTGTGCTGTGTAAGCTACTCGTCAGATGCAGGTGGCGGCCAGCTGTTTCCAGATGTTGCTATGCTGTGATGCTCAAAGTGACTCTGGCCATTCCTCATCACTTCGTCTCCCTGTGCACTCACCGGTGCTGTGGCTTCCTGCTACCATTTTCCGCGTCCAGCCCAGAGAACACATGGCTGTGACAGCCAGCACCTGTGCTCAGCGTCACGGGTCTTCTCCTGCCAACATGCTCTGCTGCTTCCGAGGCTCCAGGGTTTAGAACAGCTGTGTGGCCAGACAGGCCTTTGTCGCGAATGGAGATTGGTCGTGTTAATGCCACCCCTCGTGTTTCAGGAACGGTGACCACATCCACACGAACTTCAGGGACATGTACCAGCATCTGAGGAGCATGGGCTACTTTGTGGAGGTCCTGGGCTCCCCCTTCACGTGTTTTGATGCCAGTCAGTACGGTAAGCGGCAGCGACGTGCTCACCGGTGTCCGTCTGCCGGCGGTGTCTGTGAGCTGTTTGGGAAGTGTCTGCTCTTTCCAGGACCAGAGGGTAGAAGGGCGTATGTGGTCTCCACATGCCATGGGGCTAGGGACGGCTCTGGGACAGTGACATCCAGTCCTATGTGGGGTAGTAGTGGCCATGGTTAACCGAAGTGCAGAACCTTTGGAGTGATTGGGAGCAAGGACATTTGTGTGCTTTTTTTTTTGTTTCTTTAAAGGAAAGGAAACTCCTTTTCAAATAAGAAAACACTCTTTATCTATTTATTTATTTATTTTTAATTTATTCATTCATTTATTTTAATTTGACCAGAGTGAGACAGAGAGAGGGAGAGGAAGTGGGAAAGCAAGCCACCAGGTCCAGGACTTGAACCGTGGTTGACCATGTGAGAGTGTCCAGCACCTTAACCACCACGCCACCTGCTGGTTCCCAAGAAAACACTCTTTATATTGGGCCCCACAGTGGAATCAGAAGACCCAGTTAGTTGGTCTCTTTGCATTGTTGGAACCTGATTCTTTCCTTTTTTTGAGAGAAAGATTTTTTTGCTATAGGGCATGTGCACTTGCCAGAGAAAGAGACAGAGAGAGAGCAAGAAATCACCCCTTTTTCCTTCATTGTCCTCTCAGGATTTGGGGCATGTCCGCACATGTGCCCAGCACAAGTTTTAAGTTGCCGGGTCTGGGACTCGCAATGCATTCGCCCACGTGAGAATCTGGGAATGTAACCATCTTGCCATCTTCTGGTCCCCTGGTCCTTTACTTTACACTCCCCATTTAAAGTGCTCCATGGTGGACCGAACCAACCCTTAGGAGCTAGTGACTTGAGATTTGGGCCCCAGTAAAATGCTGTGTGTTTGCAGCAGTGACACCCTGTGGCTTAGAGGTGGCAGTTCTCAACCCTTGGCACTTTGTCTGTTAGGAACTTTGCTCATGGTGGACAGTGAAGAGGAGTACTTCCCTGAAGAGATTGCCAAGTTGAGGAGGGATGTGGACAATGGCCTTTCACTCATTGTCTTCAGTGACTGGTACAACACGTCTGTCATGAGAAAAGTAAAGTTTTACGATGAAAACACAAGGTACTGATATGAGTTGGTTTTTTGGATAAGAAATGTGACTTTTGAGAATGAAATTCTACCCAGAAAATACTTCAGTGACTATTCGACCTGTTGGTGGCCTTTCCAGTTAGCCGAGACACACCCAGAGAGCTCGGCTGGGAATGCTCGCTCTCGATGTGGTGGAGGTGTCCCTGGAGGCCACAGTCACATGCGCTTTAATTCCGATTCTGGAGGGTCTGTCGTCTGTCTTTGCGATCTTAGATACTCGAGCTTTAGATTCGTTCAGTTCTTTACCGCCTTCCCATCTCCATAACTGGGTGTACCCAAAGTTAAGTGCACCAAAGGGACTGTTTCTTAAAGTTTCTAATGAACGAATGATCAATCAAGAATTCCCAACGTGGAAACCAGCAGTTAGCGTAATGGCTATGTCGCTGGACTCCCACATAGTCGACCGCGGGTTCGTGTCCCGGACCCGGTGGCTTAAAACTCACGCCGGGCATGTGTGCGTACGTGCCCAAGATCCCGAGAGGAGAATGGAGAAGGGATTGCGGCGTGACCATCCCCCCTGGGGGGTGATTTCACGCTTTCTGTCTCTCTCTGTCTGTCTGGCGAGCGCACGCGCCCTACAGTGAAAATCTCTCAAAAAAAAAAAAAGAATTCCCAACGTATTATAAATAAATCACCCTTAGAATGCCTTTGAAATTTTTTCCTTTAGAGTCTGTGACGTGAACTTTTATAAGCTTCTTTCCCATCTCTTTCCTTTCCTAATTTTTGCTAGGTCTAGGCTGAGCAGTTACATGGGGCATATTTCAGCAAAGTGCTTACTGGCTTTCATTTCATAAATAAATTCAGCTTTCATTGATTCTGTGCTTGGGCTGAATCATTTACATCTCAAGTACTCCTCAGACCCAAACAGAAAGTTTCCGCCGGAACCTTAGTGTGCATGGGCTGGGTTGTGGCAAGAGAAACGATTTGTCACGTGTGAGTGTTTTAGCTCTCTTGTCCTCTGTGCCTCTTGTCGCTGTGACAGGCAGTGGTGGATGCCGGACACTGGAGGCGCCAACATACCAGCTCTGAACGAGCTGCTGTCAGTGTGGAGCATGGGGTTCAGCGATGGCCTGTATGAAGGGGAGTTTACTCTAGCCAGCCATGACAGTAGGTATCGTTATGAAGGGGAGTTTGCCCTGGCCAGCCATGACAGTAGGTTTCGTTACAAAGGGGAGTTTACATGACAGTAGGTTTCGTTATGAAAGGGAGTTTACTCTGGCCAGCCATGACAGTAGGTTTCGTTGTGAAGGGGAGTTTGCCCTGGCCAGCCATGACAGTAGGTTTCATGTTTATGTCTTAATCAGGCACCTGGTCCCGGAGGGGTGAGAGTGATAGCTGTGAGCTTGGGAAGTCTGGGCTCCAGAGAAAGAGGGTGATGGGATTTCTTCCCACAGGCAGGAGCAGTGGGAAGAACTAGTCAATATTTGCACAAAGTACATCTTTGAAAATATACATTAATTACTCGATCTTTTTTTTTTTTTTTAATTTTGCGAGAATACATTTGCTCACTAGAGAGAGACAGAGAAGGAGAGTTGGGGGGGGAAAGCAGCCCCCGTGGGGCATGGGTGTGCCACATTGCCTTCTACCTCGCCTTCCCTCTGGGGTTTTGGATAGGCACGCACATGCACCCACTGTGTGTTTTAGGCTGCCAGGTCTGGGACTTGAACTGTGTGGTCGGCCATGTGTGAGCCCAGTGCCTTAACTACCACATCACCGGCTGGCCTGACCAACTTTTAAAATGAAAATGTTATAGGCAAGCTTTTCTAATTTCAGTGCTTGCTGTGACAGTCTTTATATGCTGTATGTTCCTGGACAGGAAATACCTGAAAGGTTTCCGAACTTACGGCGTCCAGGGCACTGTTGTGACTCATTCTGTGAGTCCTGACTGAGGTGGTTTTCCATCTCTGACCGCTCTGGCTTGTAAACTCCTACCTAGAAACTTCACGTTAATAGTTTTTACTTGAATTTTGAGGTGATTACTGATCGTTTAACTGTGACAGAACGAGTTCTCTTAAGAATAAGAACCACTGTTAAAAATGCGAACTGTCTAAAGAACAGGTTTTGGGTGAAGGGGTAGCTGGGCTCAGTGCACCTCCGTGCTGTGACAGCCTGGGCTGACTGTTTCCTAGTGTACTACGCGTCGGGGTGCAGCATCGCCCAGTTTCCAGAAGATGGCATCGTCATAGCACAGACTCTGAAGGACCAAGGTAGGGTCCGTTCCTAGGCCTCTGGGTTTTAGTCTCTTTCCTTCCTCCCTCTCTCTTTTTCCCTCCCTCCCTTTTTAAAACATGATAACTTTGTTGTGTACAGTTTACATACTGTAAGGTTCACCCTTTGGAAGTGTACAATTCCGTGGTCTTACTGTATTCACAGAGCTGCAGGAACCATCGCTGTCTGCTCCAGAGCTTTTCATCCCCAGAGAAATCCCAGACTCGTTAGCAGTGGGTCTTGTTTAGGGCGGGCTTGACTGCATGGTGCTGCCTTAGGCGTAGCTCTGGGTGATGCGCTCTTCGGGTTGTTAACATGTGCACGCAGTGACCACCACGGAAGAGATTGGAAATGAAAATGTATGGTTTCCCAACCTAGCTATTGGCAGCTGCGAGATAGAGTTTATTTTTGTTTTACCTAGAAGGGTTTTTTCCCTTTCGTCAAACAAGGCAGCCTGTTTCATGGGCGCTATTGTAACCTCAGCCTGTAGGGCTCACGCCTGCCAGTCACGCTGCAGTTTACCATGGTTCATTCTTCCTAACGGCCTCTCCCAGGCAGCATTGCTCCTGGTCCTGGGCGTAAACAGGGTGAAGCAGCGGGGTCGCTGGCTTTGTTGCACTCTGGAGCTCATTGTTGGGGGCTCAGGGCGGAGAGGAGCCTAAAGCAGATTTAAGGTGCATACTTTTTAGTACAGGCTTAAAATAAGAGTTACCATGAAACCCTTTGTAAGGGGCTTTTTGTTTCCCTAAGTGCTTTAAGTTGAGTATCTTTGGGTACAAATCAGGAATTGGAAAATCCGGGCTGTGCTGCACCAGCAAAGGCCCTTTTGTCAGAAATGAGACGCAGGCAGGGTGCGTTCCCGATCCCCCCGATCCCCCTGCCCTGCCCTGCCCTCCCTTCTGCTCAGCTCCTAGTGGGATGAGACGCGCAGCAGGCGGTTTGGATGTCATCAGCCCGGCAGGCACTGCGTCCTGGTGAAGATAAGTGTCTCGGTCTGTGCTAAAGCAGCTTTTGCTTCTGCGGCAGAGACACACGTCATGTGACGGTGCCGCGGACCACACCTGCGCTCGGCATCTGTGTACTTTTGTTTATGATTCGTTAACAATTTTAAAGGCAGTATCTGTTGAGGATAGTATATGAAAAAAGTGTTGTGTTTTTTTTTTTTTTAAGAGAGATTTTTGCCATAGAGTGAATGCACTCATCAGAGAGACAGAAAGCTTGAAAGCAACCCTCAGAAGATGGCCATGCCACTGTTCGTTCTCCTCCATTCTCCTCTCGGGACTCTAGGCACGCACATATACACGCTCAGCGTGAGTTCTAAGTCACCAGGCCTGGGACTTGAACCATAGTTGACTATGTGGAAGTCCGGTGACGTAATCATTATGCCATCTGCTAGTCCCTGAAAAGTGCTTTAAAAATTAGTTACAGTTGGGAACCAGCAGTTAGTGTAATGGCTATGTCGCTGGACTCCCACGTAGTCGACCGTGGTTCACATCCCGGACCTGGTGGCTTAGAACTCACGCCGGGCGCATGTGCGTGCGTGCCCAAGGTCCCGAGAGGAGAATGGAGGAGAAGGGATTGCGGTGTGACCATCCTCCCTGGGGGGTGATTTCTCGCTTTCTGTTTCTATGTCTCTGTCTGTCTGGCGAGCGCACGCACCGTATAGCGAAAATCTCTCTCAAAAAAAAATTAGTTATAGTTGTGCTCGCTTCCTGTAATAAAACGGGTGTCACTACTTATCAGTGTATTTATAGAGATGTCCTTTGGGTTTAGCAGGGGCTGCTGACCGGCTGTCCTGTACGAGCTGTCTGAAGACATAGGCCTTGCAGAGAAACAAGAGGAGACAGAAATTTGTTTTTTAGGGTAAAAAGGGAAAAGTTGACACTGTTAGGACTTGAGATATGTACCACCATTTCAAGTAGAAATGAAAGAGGAGAAATACAAAACTACCCATAAAACTGAATGTTCTAAAACCCAAATACGTGTCTCTAAGGCAATGCTTTCTTATCCTAAAAGTTTGTACTGTTTTATTTGAATATTAGCTTTTACTAATATTCGCTAATACTTGCCATATCAATTAAATCTCAAATTAAGTGGCACCTGGAAGATAATTGATTCTGTGGCAGAAGCTCATTGCTGTTTTTGTCATTGTTCTAGGATTAGAGGTTTTAAAGCAGGAAACAGCAGTTGTTGAAAATGTTCCTGTCTTGGGACTTTATCAGATCCCAGCTGAGGGTGGAGGCCGGATTGTGCTGTATGGAGACTCCAATTGCTTGGACGACAGCCACCGCCAGAAGGGTAAGGGCAGGCGCAGACGGGCTTAGTGACTCTGACTCGCAGACCCTGCCTTCGCTCTGTCTCTGGGAAGGCCCTGATAAGGTGCTGGGAAGTGAGCAGATGCTGCCCGCCTGAGCTGGGTAGCTGGGGACACTCAGTGGCTTTGATTGCCTGGGACGTGTGACCAGCGACCAGTGCCCAAGCCTGGGACTTTCAGTTGGGCAGCGTGTGCTCCAGCCACACCGCCCTGCAGCAGAGGGGCTGGGGTCCCTGCAGTTTGACCCCTTCTACCCAATTATCCAGGGCTGCCGTGGAGCAGGTGCCCTTCTCTGGTCTGACCTGCCTTTCCTAGCCCCGCCTGGAGGGCCCACTCCTGGTCTCCTCACAGACTCAGGAGCATGGGCTGAGTGAGCCTTTGTCAGCAAGGATGTCTGTTACCATCAGGTGTGCGAGGAGGCAGAGAGGGGTAGGCTCTTCCTCTTGTACCTGCTCTCTCGCAGTTTCTCCAAATTTGCGGGCTTTGAGTTGGACACAGACTGTTTATTTTCCTCATTGCATAGAGGAGGAGGTGGAATGGTGAAAGTGTTGCACGTCTTACCTGCTAAGATGGGGGCAGCAGCAGGACTGAAACCTGGTCTCCTCATTCCCTACTTGGGAGCTGGGGCTGAGGAAGGACGGCGGCTACAGCCTGAGCTTTGCAGACAGTGATCTGGTGTTAGGGACGAGGAGGCGGCCCCCAGGGTACCGAGGTTGCATCTGATTTTAGGTCGAAGACTTTAACCCTCCAAAGTGAGGGTTAAAGTCACAGTTGAAAGAAGATTAATGTTTTATTTCTGTAGAGATTTTTTAAGACTAAGATCTCCTGGTAAGATTCTTTCATTAAAATTTTAATGCCTGAGAAGACTGTCCTTACCCTTAGATTTTAAATGGCAGCTTTTAGGATCTTTCAGGAGCTTTAAGCGCTTGACCAGAAGTGCTCTTAAATGAGAGAAAAGCACTTACTGGTATTTTCCCTCGTGAATCCTGTTTCGTTCGCATTGGCGCTGATGGGTCATGGCTTGGGGATGGGCTCACGGACACTAGCGCTGCGGGGTTCAGTACAGCACAGTATTGCTCACTCCTGACACCGCAGGCCAGCTTGTGGCTGTGAGCGTGGGAGCCCTCGAGCGCTGGCACCTAGACTCCCAGGTGTCCCAGAAAGCGGTTGGCTGTCTTCTGACTCCATGCTGGGGCCACTGCCCCAAAGGGAGGCTCAGACCCCTCCGGAAGTGGATGAGCCCAGATCTCCTTAGCAGGCGAGCCCCTGGGGCGTCAGCAGAGCTGGGCTCCTGCTCCTTTCCTCTGACCTCGGAGCCCGTGCTCCCCAGCCGTCTTTCCCAGGCATGTCTCGTGGCCTCACCAGCTCTGAGCTCTGCCCCCTTTTCGTCTGTGAGGAGCCCTGTCCATTCTCCAGCGGTGCTGGCCTTGCAGAGCCCAGGGGGTTGGGGCCAAAGCCCTGGGGTAGGCCACACCTGCGAGTGCTGGCAGGGAGCTGGCCCTGCAGGACGTGTGCTCCCGGGGGGCAGGAGTACCTGGTGTGTGCTGGGTCTGCTCTGGGTCTGACTTCTGACTCCCATCTCCCCCTCTTGTGGGAAGCCACACTTTCTATTACTTTCCTATAGGTTTTTTTAAACATTATAATAAAAAAACTTCTGCAGTGAAAGAAAAAGTCCATGTGTGGAAAGAGGAGACGGGGAGGGGGAGAGGGCGAGCGAACGAGCGAGAGCAGAGAGCGGCATCTTCAGCAGGGTCTTGCCGTGGTGCTCTTTCCTGTCCTGGCCTTCTAGCCGGGACCATCGCCATGCTTAGGTTGGGCCAGGAATCCAGGCCTCCCTGTGGCCACAGCTGTCACACAGCAGTGCCCACCACCCACACCACCATGCTGGCCTTCCCAGACCAGATTCTCACGTGGCATGTTGTCGATTCCCCAGACTGCTTTTGGCTCCTGGACGCACTCCTTCAGTACACAGCGTACGGGGTGACCCCTCCCAGCCTCAGCCATTCTGGGAACCGGCAACGCCCTCCCAGCGGAGCAGGCTCAGTTGCTGCAGAGAGGATGGAAGGTGAGTGGGCCGATGCGGCAGCTCCGGGAGGGCGACCACCCTGCTGCCCCAGCGCGTGGTCGTGCTGGCCAGTGAGTGAGCCGCTTGGACATGCAGACTGTTTACTGGCTGGGGTGGACTGGCCGCAGTGCTCTGGCATCAGAGGGGCCATCCTCTCGATCCAGGGTGGGCCCTGTGTGCGGTGCTTTCCCACGCTCACCCTGGATCCCCACGAAGCCCCAAGTCTGTGTTTACCGTACCCCCCCCCACCCCACAGAGGGGGGGCTCTGGCTCCTAGGGGCCTTCAGGAAGAACCGTTGTTTCTTACTTGTTTTAATGGGGGGAGGCAGTGTTTGTGACAGAGCATTGCCTACCACGTCATGGCCCTTCCCGCTCCAGCCTCCCTTCCAGCCGGGGTCACAGGCCTGCGCCACTGTGCCTAGCTTCTAGGTTGGGCTCAGAACCGAGCCTGGACCCCCACATGGCCCTGTAGGTTCAGTGGTGGGGCCACACTGAGGACGTTGAGGACTCAGTACCCCAGGCACCGGGGCAGCGGGGGGGCGGTGTGCTTCCCGTGGTTGCCTCACTCACTCCCAGTAATCCGAGAGATACTAGTCCACTTTGCAGGTGCAGGGATAGGAGCCGAGAGGTGAAGGGGAGCTGCCCACATTACCTGACGTACATAGCCGAGCCCGAAGTCAGCACCAGGGCCTGTGCTGGTCCAGACGGGACCTCCCTGGCCTTTACTGGGAGCTGCGCAGTCTCCTGCCCACAGTCCGGGCATGTGATGTGAGCCGTGGGTGTGATGTGCCGGTGTCCAGCAGCCACGGTAGAAAAGGAAAAAGGAGCCCGGCGAAGTCCACCTTAGTAACATACTTGAGCCAGCACACCGGGAGTACCGTTACTCGTTTAAATGTGACACCTGGTCTCAGTTACTGGATATCCGCGTACGGCCAGTGGCTATGGTGTTGAATGGCACAGATATGAGAAACAGAAAAAATCTTGAAAATGCAGATTTTTTTTTCTTGGCCAGAGAATTAAGTATTTCAGAAGAGATTTTGTCATGAAGCATATCTGCAGGTCAGCTTCCAGGAAGGCAGCGCTGTGCACGTAGGCAGTGGTCAGTAAAGGCTGACCTGCCTGGACCGTGGGCACGGCAGGTGGCCTTTTACTGGGACAGCTCTGACGTGGCACCCGCCCAGCAGCCAAAGCCCGTGCTAGCGTGGTGGGGTCTTCGGTGTGGCTCCTGCAGCCCTCAGCAGCACTGAGCGTCCAGCACCGCTGGTAGGAGAGCGACAGTGGATGAAGCCGTGTTGTCCCGTGTTTGACACAGCTGTTTGCTTTCTGTCCATGCTGCTCACCCAGGAAACCACCTTCATCGGCACTCCAAGGTTCTGGAGGCCCACTTGGGAGACCCTAAACCTCGGCCTCTGCCAGCCTGCCCACACTTGTCCTGGGCCAAGCCGCAGCCTTTAAACGAGACAGCACCCAGGTGAGTGCGCCTGTGCTTGTACACGGGCTCCTGCCTCACTCCCCGGTCCCCCTGGGAGAGAATGGAATTTTACTGACATCCTTATCGGTAATTAAATCTTCCACTTGTTATTTCGTGGTAGTTATTTAAATTAGTGAGCCCCCATATCGACCTTTAGGAACATGCCTCTGGCTGTATTCTGCAGAAAAAGCACTGGGCTCATTAGCATCCTGTTCGAACTGGTTCCCTCCGTGAACAGCTGTGAGCGGCGTGATGTCACTAGAGCAGAAGCTCCAGCTCCTCGGGTGGGGCGTCGAGCTGTCTGTGGCTGTGTCCCCTGCTAGAGACCCTGGTTCTGAATGGCACACCTCGTCCCAGGGGGCTGAGGCTGCCCTGAGAGACCTGGGTGCTGCCGTGAAGCCTAGCCACGAATGTGCTTCGGTGGCACCGCCGTCCTGTGCTGAGCGGTGCTCCTGCGCCTTCGTCACCATGCTCCCGTCCACAGCTCCCCTCGCTGTCGCACTCCACCTCGGTTTGCACTGCTTCCTCCCCAGAGCGAGGCTCCTGCTGTCCCTGCTGTTTCTTCCTTCAGCCTGGATGAGCCAGCCCAGAACGGCTGGTCATCGTTTCTCCACGTCGCACTGACTCCCCTTCTCTCTGCCCATCCCTGGCCTGAGCGGGACAATAACGTGGGGCGGGGTCTTTCCTGGTACGCAGTTTGGGGAGCAGGGACGCCGTGTGGAGTCACAGGGACAGCTGTCTAAGCCACCCTCCTCCAGGTGGGCACACCACCCTCTCCTTCCCTCAGGCAGCAGGCGCTCCTCTCAGGGTTCCTCCTGCCTTATTCTCCCGAGGCTGCCCGCAGTGCAGAGTGGTGACAGGTGTTGGGCAGGGACTGAGGGCCCCCTAAGCCACGAGGAGGAGGAGGAGACCCACGGGAGGCCTTGAGGCCACCACCTACGTTACCTTTCGCCACAGAAAGCACGGGACACTGCTCAGTGACCAAGCGTCATCACGTAGAATGGCCGGGTGGAAACGGGAAAGCCTAGGCGCGCCCTCTCGTTGTCTTCCCGGCAGTTTCCCCCTGAGCCTGTAATCGCTGCGCACGTCCCCGTCCACCACCCTCTCATCATCTGTAATTTCCTGATGTCTCCAATTTACTTCCTGTCTATTTATAACCTACTATTATCTTAGCATTCAAAGCAGACTCTATTCCAGCCATGGTCAGCAGTTCCTACTCAGTGGGCAGGCGGCATCAGCATCCACTCAAGTTACAGAAACCCAGGCACTAGGTGTTCAGGACACGGAGACAGCCAGCCACGTCCCGTGCTCGCCACCCACCGTGCCAGCTGATGCGGCCCACACAGAGCCGGCATGGAGGACGGGCTGTCTCACCCCCAGGGTTTGACGCCCACGGCACACTGAGGTTCCTCCTCAGACACCGCCGGGGCCTCCCCTCAGGCTGCACAGCCGCTGCCCCGGACAGCTGTTCTCATCCTCAGCAGCGGCAGCAAGACCTGCTGAGTCTCTGAGGGAGCCCCCCAGGTGAGGGCCAGTTGCCATCTAAACGAGGAGGCCCTTTCTCCGTTTCATGCTTGAGTGATGGGGTGTCAGCTAAGGAGGAGTCCCTGCTTAGGCGGCCCCGCCCCTCAGCACGCTAAGTCTCAGGCGGCAGTGCCAGTGTGCCTAGTGACCGCCTCGCCGGATAGAGCCAGAGCCAGGCCAGCTATTAAGTCCCAGGACAGCTTCGTCTCCAAGTCAGAGGGCTTAAATGTCCCTGACTTCGCAACTTGACGTCAGTGTGGTTTCCAGACCAGCGAGACCCGAGTGTACACCTGAGCACCTGAGTGTAGTCATGTAGAGCGGCTGTAACGCGGTGGCCTGTGCAGTGTCCTGTGGCAGCGTCTCTGTCCTGCATGGATGCCTCTTCACAGACCTCCTGGCCACCAGTGTTCACATTGACCTCCGCCCTGGCTGCCGATAGGCCAAGTGCAAGCACAGACATCCAGTTCTGAGTAGGAGACAGGCAGCCGTTTCCAGGCGGATGGGCAGCAGGATACTAGGGGTTCTTTCATCTGCAAATACGCTGATTTCCCTCTCCAGGATCACCAGCTAGAGCGGTGCTCAGGTCGCCATCAGCCTTCTGGGCTCCAGCCTGGGTGTTCTTCCCGCCATCCTCTGCAGGCCCTGCATGTCGGCCTCTCTGGTCCATAGTTCTGAGTCTGATGGCCTGGACAGGCTCCTCAGCTGGAACAGTTCATAATCGCACTTGGCTGTTAGAGAGAGGTCGGTCCCACTAAGCTCTCATTTCAGCCGATTGCTTGAACAAAGCTGATGCCTGGCTCTGGTCTGAGTTTGCCCAGCTTCCTGGTTGAGTCACTTTTTCTACATACTCTGCAGCCGTCGGGAAGCAGGCCCCAGGCCAAACGGTGGTTAAGGTAGCTGGGTCCCCTGTGGCTGACTGTGTGATTGAGTCCCAGACCCAGCAGCTTGAAAATCATGCCGGGGTGTATGTGTGGGCATACCTGAAATCCCAAGAGGAGAGTGGGAGAGAAGGGATTGTAGCCGTCCCCTTTAGGGGGCCGCCCCTCTGAGCCGTCCTCTCACACTGTCTCTTCTCTGGCAAGCATATGTGTCCTATAGCAGAACTTAAAAACAAGTAAAAGAAAGCTCCAACGGCCCTGGTGCCCCGCAGCAGAGACCTGCTGCTGCCCCCGTCCCTGGCTCTGTGCCCGGGCGCCCGCTGTACCATTCTCGAGCTGGTTTCAGAGTGGCGCTTGAGGGGGCCAGCATGTGGCATGGTGCTGAAGACACTGGACTCCCACATGGCCCACCACAGTTTGAGTCTGAGACCTGGTGGCTTGTTTTCTCACTTTCCTTTTTATTCTCTTTCTGGTCAACTTTATAATAATAATAATGATAAATGAATTATTCTAAAAAAAGTCACTTGGGGCGTCTTTGTGGTGCTCCCCACTGTAAGCACAAACAGCTCGTGTTGGCAGGGCTGCAGCTGGTAGGGTCTGCCTCTCCATGGATTGGTAACACCGTGGCCATGGCCTGGGGTCCCACTGCTCCCTGGGGACAAACCTACAGGTGGACGGAGGTCATGTCACTTCCTCTCGGTCACTTCCTGTTGCTCGGGTGTCGGCGAAGCCTCCTCCGCTAGTACCACGGCTTATTTTGTTTTGTCTCCCTCTGTTTTCCTGAAGTAATCTTTGGAAACATCAAAAGTTACTCTCCATCGACCTGGACAAAGTGGTGTTACCCAACTTCCGGTCGAGTCGCCCTCAAGTGAGACCCTTGTCCCCTGGAGAGAGTGGTGCCTGGGACATTCCTGGAGGTGGGTTCTGGGCCCCTTACTGCCACTGGACTCTTCGAGTTTCTCTCTCCCCCGGGGACTGGGCAGACCTTGATGTTTCCGCCTTCGAGGGCCGCGATGGTCTTTGCTTTCTCTGTGGTTCAAAGCACAGGCCGCAGGCTGCTGGGAAGACAAGACGTTGTTATTGCGCTTAGAACATTCGACAGGTGTTCAGAGTCGAATTTCTTTTCCGTAGCCAGCTGTTACATTTAAAGTTTTTCAGAGTGACTTGCCCTCTTTTCTGCACACAAGCCTGGGCAGTGTACCCCAAGGGCTGCCTATCCTCTGCTGGGTCTCCCCAAGCCGTCCGATTCTGTGCCCTGGGTGGTTGATAGCACCCTCTCTGCCCCCAGATGATGACGCACCTGAGGAGACAACTTGGGCAAGTCTTTGGTTCTGAAAGTCCTTGCACTCTTCCTAAGAGCTCCCAAGGAGAATTCAGTTTGAGTCTGGGACCTGGTGGCTTGTTTTCTCACTTTCCTTTTTATTCTCTTTCTGGTCAACTTTATAATAATAATAATGATAAATGAATTATTCTAAAAAAAGTCACTTGGGGCGTCTTTGTGGTGCTCCCCACTGTAAGCACAAACAGCTCGTGTTGGCAGGGCTGCAGCTGGTAGGGTCTGCCTCTCCATGGATTGGTAACACCGTGGCCATGGCCTGGGGTCCCACTGCTCCCTGGGGACAAACCTACAGGTGGACGGAGGTCATGTCACTTCCTCTCGGTCACTTCCTGTTGCTCGGGTGTCGGCGAAGCCTCCTCCGCTAGTACCACGGCTTATTTTGTTTTGTCTCCCTCTGTTTTCCTGAAGTAATCTTTGGAAACATCAAAAGTTACTCTCCATCGACCTGGACAAAGTGGTGTTACCCAACTTCCGGTCGAGTCGCCCTCAAGTGAGACCCTTGTCCCCTGGAGAGAGTGGTGCCTGGGACATTCCTGGAGGTGGGTTCTGGGCCCCTTACTGCCACTGGACTCTTCGAGTTTCTCTCTCCCCCGGGGACTGGGCAGACCTTGATGTTTCCGCCTTCGAGGGCCGCGATGGTCTTTGCTTTCTCTGTGGTTCAAAGCACAGGCCGCAGGCTGCTGGGAAGACAAGACGTTGTTATTGCGCTTAGAACATTCGACAGGTGTTCAGAGTCGAATTTCTTTTCCGTAGCCAGCTGTTACATTTAAAGTTTTTCAGAGTGACTTGCCCTCTTTTCTGCACACAAGCCTGGGCAGTGTACCCCAAGGGCTGCCTATCCTCTGCTGGGTCTCCCCAAGCCGTCCGATTCTGTGCCCTGGGTGGTTGATAGCACCCTCTCTGCCCCCAGATGATGACGCACCTGAGGAGACAACTTGGGCAAGTCTTTGGTTCTGAAAGTCCTTGCACTCTTCCTAAGAGCTCCCAAGGAGAATTCCTCTGGGGGTCTCGAAGGGGTACCCTGGCCCTGCAGTCCAGGCCTGGGAGCTTGGTGTGGGGCACAAGACCCTGAGGCCTTCCCTGTAGGTCCTGGGCACACCATGGCAGGTCTGAGCCCTCAGCGCTGCCCTGTGGCAGCCAACCTGGCCCTCTACCCAGTGTCCTCAGTGCCTCCCATGCAGTGGGGCCTGGGGGCGGAACAGGGCAGGCAGTGGCCGTGTCACCTCCTCACCTCCCTCCTTCCACTCAGCACCTCTTTCTCCCCTGGACCGAAGCGTGTTCATTCTCTGCTGTGTTTAGAAACAAGCCTCTGGGCCCCATTACCGATTGTGTGTGACAGAGGCAGGGAAGTCCTGTGTCTGTCTGTGGGAGCCCAGGGAGGAGGAGGAGGACGGGAGGAGCGGGAGCGGAGGCCTCCTGCCCCTGCACCCTCCGTGCCTCATAAGGAAGCTCCGGCTCTGCACCTTACTGACCGCTCACCTGCTCTCCTCCCTCAGGGATCATGCCTGGCCGCTACAACCAGGAGGTGGGCCAGACCATCCCTGTCTTTGCCTTCCTGGGAGCCATGGTGGTCCTGGCATTCTTCGTGGTACAGATCAATAAGGCCAAGAGCCGGCCGAAGCGGAGGAAGCCCCGGGTGAAGCGTCCGCAGCTGATGCAGCAAATTCACCCACCAAAGACCCCTTCGGTGTGACCTCCTGTGGCCGACCATGGAGCCAAAGAGAGCCTCAAAGGGTGGTGTGGGTGGGTGGTGGTGCTGTGGAGAGTTTCCAGGGACTCCGCCTGTGAAAGGCACCCAGTTTCAGCTGCGGGGTTGTCAGAGGCCGTCCTCAGCGGACCTCCATTCCCGTCGTGCGCGGAGGCTCACCAGACCTGCGACGTGAGGGCGCCCGGCTCCAGCAAGCCCTGACGCCGAGCAGCTGCGTGCACCAAAGACTTGGAGACCTGGCAGAGGCAGCTGGGCTCTCCCGACCTGGGAGGCAGGAGGTAACAACCCTGACCAAGCTCCAATGTGCTCGTGAAAGGCTATTTTCTCTATTTATTGTTGGGAGAGTCACTTTAGAGACTTGTGCTATTTGGAAGCAAAGCTATTTTTTTTGTCAGTGGAATGCCGTTTTTTACTCTCACTGTTATCATCAGGAATAACACAGATTCCGCGATCTCCTTTTTGATGAAAGGACAGACTGAGATTCGAAGGAAACTTGCACAAATCTGTGAGACATAGGCCTTCGCTTTATTTTTATAAGTACCAACTGCCATCACGTTTTGTAAGTTGGGGTCTTGATTTCACCATTGTCGGTGAAGAAACTTTTCAATAAACATGCGTTCCCTGTATGCAGCCGAGGCGTTCGCGTCGCCCCTTTCCTGCTCGCCCCTTCCTCTGTGGGCTCCGGGTCAATCTGTTCACTTCTTCTGTCTCACATCCGTGTACACATGAGAGGGAGAAGCCCTGCCACAGGCACGGCCAGGCTGCAGCCCCTGCCCGGCCCTCCCGCCCATCGGACGTGGGCGCCTGCTCGTGTGCCCGGTGCGTTTCTGACTCACTGGGCTGGGGATTCGAACTGTGGTTGCCTGGTAGAACCTCGCTTCCCTGAGCAGCACGTTACTGCTGCACCACAGAGCCGGCCCTGACTTTATTAATACATCATTCACAGGCCAGCAGGTGGTGTGGAAACGGTGCTGGACTCACCTGGCTGACCTCAGTTCATGTCCCAGACCTGGCAGCTTGAGAATCATGCCAGGTGTGTGTGTATGCGTGCCCCAGATCTGAGAGGAGGACGGAGGAGGATTGAGTGTGGCCATGCTCCCTTTCTCACTGTTTCTGCCTCTCTGTGGCGTGGACACGCACCCTATGGCAAAAACTTCAACAATGACAAAAAAGATAAAATTCACATACCCTAAAAGTCCCCATGCAAAGTACCATCTTGTGGGTTTTAGTGTGTTCACAGGTTACACAACTGTCTCACTCACTACCTAATTCCAGCACGTTTCCACCACCCCCAAAAGAAAGCCCACCCGCAGTAGCAGTCACCCCGACCTCCGCAGGCCACGTGCCCTCAGCACCACGTCTGGGGTTCGCCCACAGGTTGGCACTCGCTCCTCGCGGCTGAGCGCTGTCCATCGGCGGATGGGCCGTTCTGCTCTGGTCCTCAGCTGATGGACCTCGGGGGTCCCCTCCTGGCTGCCGTGGGCAGTGCTGCTGTGAGCACATGCAAGCTTGTGTGTGGACACATTTCCCGTCCCTAGGCGTGAAGTCACAGCTCCATATTTAACTTTCTGAGGTGTTGCCAAATGTTTTTTTAAAGAATTATTTAACTATTTATTAATTTATTTACTTTAATTTGACCAGAGAGGGATACAGAGAGAGAAAGTGAGAAAGCAAGCCGCCAGGTCTGGGATTCAAACCGTGGTCGGCCATGTGGGAGTTCAGTGGCCCAGCCGCTATGCCACCTGCCGCCCCAAAGTTTGGTGTTGCCAGACTTTTCCCCAAAGCAGCTCACTGTAATGTTACCAGCAAGAGTACAAGAGCTCAGAGATGGCCCGTCCCCCATACTGGTGGTCACCCATCTTTGACTGCAGCAGCTAGCAGGTGGATGCTGTGGGCTCATCTGCCCCAGACCACTGGGGCGTGTCTTTCACAGTCTTCTTGCTGAGTTGAAGAGCTCCTCATGTATCCCGGCTACACGTTCCTCACAGATCTGTGACTTGCAGACATTCCTCATTCCGTGGGTTCTCTTCTCACCTTGATGTCCTTTGAAGCATAAACTTTTCGTTCACGGTTTTTCTGCTTGGCCCTTTGGTTGCTCGTGCGTTGGGAGTCATACCTAGGAGCCGTTGCCTTGTCCCGTCCCTCCCTGGCCAGTGTGTCCCCTGCGTGCTGACCGGCACACACCAGCTTGCACGTCATAGGCGAGGGTAGACTGACCGGAGAGGGGAGAGAGAGGCTGCGGGGTGCTGATCGTGGTGCCGATGGGCCATGGCAGAAAAAAGTACAGGCCGAGGGAGAGGGCAGAGCCGCCAGCACCAGCTCTGCCTTGGAAGGTCACCTTGGGACTTGGGAGGCCTCGTGGGGGCCCCCAGCTGACATTCTCACAGTGCATCCCAAGTCACACCAGACATGCCCTTGCTCGTGTGGGCAGGAGGGGTCTGCAGCTTCTAGGCATCTAAACCAGCGGCTTGGACGTCACTGCTAGGGAGCCTGTGGTCCATGCCAGGCCTCCCCAGAAGTGGGCTGCTCCTCGGGACCCTGCCAGCCAGGGTGGCCGGTGTGTCTCTGGCTCCTGGGAACCAGGCGAGGGCCAGCTATGAGACAGCAGGTCAGGGCCAGGCTCCTGGGGCCCCGGGCCTGCCTCAGCAGCACATCTGATTTAAAGAAGTTGGAAGCCTAGGCTGTAGCTAAGCTCTCAGCTCTCCATGTTGGGCTGATTGAAATCATTCAGGAAATATTTTCGTAAACTAGGTCGGTTTCTTCAGCCCCTACCGTAACATCATCCTAACACCAGATGTGGTGGAATGAGGCCGACACCAGGGAAGTGAGGTCTCTTGTCCCCATGCTAGCTGCGTGACCTTGGGGACACCTGTTTCCTGAGGGACTTGGTGCCTTGTTCTCAGAAAATGGAACTCGATGGGGCTGGGGCCGTCGGCTTCCCTGTTCCTGTCACTGGAGGTCCCCCGCCTGCCTTGCAGTGTTGGGGCCTGTGCATGTGGCTTGACTTCCTGGCCAGGCCTGCTCCTGTCCGTTCCCCATGGCAGGCCTAGCACCTCGGCCTTACTTCCTCCAGAGACTGGGAGCTGGAGCACGTGGGCCACCGGCTGGGCGATGTGCACCTGTCAGTGCATTTCGAAAAACCGCATGGACTTCGTGATTTTGCACCAAAATAAACTCACTTTCATTCTGTCGCCACACGGACTTCTTGATGTCTCCACAAAAGGATCAAAAGCAGGTGTAGAGAAAGGTCTCCTGGGGCCCCAGCTGGTGTGGGGGTGGCACTGGACTCTCACCTGACCGGTTACAATTCGAGTTCTGGACCCGGCAGCCTGCAAATCACATTGGGCATGTGTGTGTGTGCCCCAAATCCCAGGAGGATGGAGGCAAGGGATTGTGCTGTGGCCATCCCACCTGGGGGGTTCTTTTTCAGTTTCCCTCTTTCTGTCTCTCACCAGTGAGTGCATGTACCCTATGGGGAGAAAAACAAATAAGAAATAGAAAGGACAATTGCTCCCCTACGGTTCTGGAGATTGGAAGCCTGGCCCCCCGGCTGGGCGGATGCTGAGGCTCGGTGCTCCTCCGGGGGCCCCCGTGTGACTGCTGGCTGCATCCCTGAGCTCAGTGCTGGCCCTCTGCTGCCTGCACACCCCTCCAGTCTCTGCTTCCATCTTACACTGCCTGCTCCTCTCTGACCCCTGACCCCTCCAGGTCCCTGTTACTGGGTGCCGATTGCATTTGGGGCCACCTGGACACCCAGGCTTCCCGCCAGCCCGTCCTCGCGGTCTCTGCCATGTGCGGGAGCAGGCTGGCAGGGCCTGGAGACAAGGGCTGGAGGTTCGGGACATCAGCCAGCTGACCACCCCAGGTCTTTGTCTCTAAAGGGCCACACGTTTCCTGTGGTGGACTTAGATGGGTGGTGTGGGAGTGTGCAGCAGCCGAAACATTCTGGGGGCAGGAGGCTGCCCCCGGGAGCCCCACGGAGACTTCATCGGCTGGGGCCTGGTCCCTCAGGGCCACACAGCCAGTGGGCTCTGAAGTCCTGGCTAGCAGCCGCAGGTGGCTGTGCCTTCCAGTGCGCGAGCTCCTGCCGCAGCGCAGGCAGAGGCTTTGGTCTGCTCCTGCAGCGCCTTGGGCTCCCGGCACCTGGCACCGTTAAGCAGCCGTCCAGGGCTGACTGCTGCAGAGTGGAGGGGCCATGGGCTCGGGGACACAGCTTGGGGGGCCAGCTGGAAGCCCTGTCCACTCAGGACCGCGAACTGCACCCTCACACCGCCTCGGTGCACCAGACCTGGGGGAGCTTTCCAGAAACTGATGCCCTGGCCTGCCCCAGACCAAGTGAATCTGCAGCTGCGGGGCCAGGTCTGCAGCTGAAGAATGAAGAGCTCCTCCATGGTTCTGTGTAACTAAGGGTCAGAGCGCGATTTGAGAAGCTCCAAGTGAAGCCCAAGTGGGAACAGGAGTGCAGACTGTAGACTGGGACATGTCATCATTTCCAGGACGATGACAGAGCCAGGGAGGCAGGGGCCAGGTGGCCATCGGCTCCTGGGGCCCGCCTCGTCTGTCCTCCAGAATTGAGCATGGAGTCTGGCAATGAGCCGAGGCTCCTTTGTCGGCCCTTTGTCACAGCCGTCTCTAGGCTGTCAGGAACCCCTGCGTGTATGAGGGGGCTCCCTGGCAGATGTGCTGGCCCCGGAAGCTGGAAAGGAGGAAGCTCCTGGGCAGAGCCGTGTGGCACAGGGACCTGGTGCCGTCCCACATGCCTTCTGCACAGGAGCGGGAGCGGGGCAGGGCTGAGCTGAGCAGAGTTGGCCTGGCCGCCCACAGGCTGCAGATGGGGCTCTGCGGGGCGCCCCTCGGAGCTGGGTAGCTCGGGGAAAGGTCACACAGCCCCGTGGTGCCGTGGTGCCGTGGTGCCGGCAGAGAGTGGGTATCAAAGCCCCTTGGAATTTCACAGCCCAGTGGCCAATTTCTAAGTCATGCACGTTAATGGGCAGCTAATGAGGGACCCAGGCTGGGACAGGGACGCGCCTGCGCCCCTCACCCAGCCAGAGATTAAGGAGTACAAAGCCCCCAGCCGCCAGCAAGGGCTCTTTATCTTTCTCAGGAGGCAGGATTTGGGGGCTTTGAGAGGCCTGGGGGGGCCTGTGAACTCCACCGAGTCCCTCCCCCAGCCTCCCCAGGTCCCTCCACATCTGCCCATCTCACAAGGCTTCACAGCCACGCCGTGAGGAGGACATCCAGTGTGACCCCTTGGCTGGCGAGGAAGGCATCTCCCAGCTCAGCCCTAGCCTGGGTCTCTAGCCCAGGGTCCTTGCTCCCCGCGGGCCTTCTGGGAGTGCTGGCTCATGGAGGCCCCACTTCCCAGAATATCCCCCTGGCCCTTCACCACTGCACAGACCTCTCCTCTGCTCCAGCACCTTCTCCAGGAAGCCCTTCCAGATTCCCTTCCCTCCTCCGGTCTTGGGGCCCAATCTTCCCCACTGGGCTGGGATTGTTAGTTTCTTCCTGACCAGAACAGAGACCGTCTCTCACCTCCAAGTCCCCAGGGCCTAGCACACAGGTCCTCGGTCAGTGACTGCCCACACACATCCCAGCACCAGGTGCAGGGGGCTGCGTGGTGGCCCCCACAG